GCTTCCCGGCCAATCAGGAAGCCAGGCGGCAGGTAATGACTTGCCACCACATAGTTACATAGTATTTGAGGTTGAATAAAGACATTAGTCCATCAAGTCCAACCTATTAGGATCTCATTCTAGGAGTACCCGTACCCCTGTATATTACGGTCCCTTAAGAAATCGTCCAAAAGTTTCTTGAACAATTCCACATTATTTGCTGAAATCACCGCCTGTGGCAGTGAGTTCCAGACACTAACTGATCTTACTGTGAAGAACCCCTTTCGCCCCTTGTGCTGGAATTTTTTTTCCACCAATTTTAGGTGATGGTGTTCAGTAATACATCTTTTGCCAAGGTTGCATGTCACAGGGTGACAACACAGGGGAACAATTGGGAGTCAGTTGTCACCCCATCACAGGAAGTGCCAGAAGAATGATCTTTCAGGCAGAATAACCAGGTTTTTTTTATTTTATTTATTACTGACATCCTATGAAATGAACATGTTAAAGTTGTGTGAGATTTTAGTGGTTGGGTTCACATTTGCTGTCTGTGAGCAATTCAATTTACCTATCGGGAGAATCAGAGAAAAGCATGCCGGGAATTCCAGAGCCACAGCGGGGGCCCTGACAATGTCACGTGACCGCAGCCCGGGAACCATCCCTGACGCAGCGACAGAAGGGGGCGTGATGACGTCACGACCGGGAAGCGGCTCGCCTGATACCTGAGTGTAGGGTTAACCCCTGGGTGTCGGGTTGGGGAGGAGGGGCCTGGGCGGCGGAGCTGTCCGGCAGTCATTCGGTGATGTGACGGAGGAGAACGGAGCGCCGCCATGGCAGCCAACAAGTCCGTGCTCAGCCTGGCCACCTTCTCCTTCGGTCTGGCCATCGGCTTCATCTTCTGCTACGTCCTCTTCAGCATCGTCCTACAGGAGCGGGAAGAGGCGGCGTCCGTTATCCTCCACAACGACCCGCACGGCGGACACAACGACCACCAGCATGGAGAGCCCCTGCCCGGACACATCATGGACTTCAACCAGGACAGCC